TAGATGGCCAATTTACGTTTGTGCTAATGGGCTTTGAATCTTATTTGAATACGAATTCACCAATTCCAGTATATTTACAATTTTTACGAGAAATGGTTAGACTAGGAATAGTGCATTTAGAATGAGACCCTATATATATTATAAACACGGAAAGGATCTCTTAAGACCATTTCATTCAGTATTCACAGTGCCAAACCACATTATCTCATGAGCGATTTTTATTTAACCATATTTCTATCGAAGGTATAGAGATCAAGATGGTCGTGATCTCCTTTTGTTGTATAGAAGTTGTCTAACTAGTTTTTGCAACTTGGTCGTATTGTGAAGGAGACCTAGATGAACGCACTTTGTCCGGAGTTCATACTATATATTATAATTTCTAGCTTCTGGACTGTACCAAGTACACGGTCTGACGCTGGAAATTATTACGGATACTATGGACTTCGGATAAGATGCATTCCTCTAGGTCCCTCTGTCAATTCTACTTAGTTGAGAAGACAAGATCAAACAAAATTTATTGCATCATATTCTGTGATTAGTAATCCGCATATTTGCCTAAAAAGTTGTTATCTGTGCAGTCGTTTGTTGCAAAAATGGAGTTAAGTCTGATTTGTTTTGTCTAGGCAGAGGGGTCAGAATCGATTAAAGTTTATAGTCCTTTTTATAAAATCAATAATACTGCCTCATTACTAAATACTTTTACATAGTTACATTAAGATACTAATGAGTCCAACCAAGATATTATAAAAATGCCAGCCTTCTATTTTTAGACTCTTACATATAAAAAAACGTGGTTTAGAATAATCCCTTAACAAATTCATGTCATCCATATCGCCTGGGCTTAGAACCATTCTTTGCATCATAGATTTCGAATTTTTGCTTACATATATATAATTCTATTTTTAATTTTATTTTACCCTATTTATATCACTTAGTCTTGCTGATTGCTAATTATCTACTTAATAATATTTCGCTACCTTAAGTTTTAGCGTTTATTCATTTATGTCTGTTTACATTATTTATCTATGTAATGTATTCACAATTTTGATGAGCTACTTTATCAATTCTAAATTTCTAAAATGAACAAGTTTTGCATATCGTATTAAAAAGAAAGATAGACTATGATTAAATCTGTAATTAGTCTATAGAGTCTTGTGATGAGTTAAAAATTGATTTTAAGGGAGATAAATATTTCTAACTCGCAATTAACCTGCCCATAAGAAAATGGCTCTTAGATTCCTAATGCATATTTGATAAGCCTATTTTGAGACTCATGCATTATTTATACTATGTTTGAAGGTTCATATTTTGTAGGCTGATAATTTTTTTACATCTTCTTTTGCATTTTGCGTAGCTTCGTGCTATCATTTTCGTACTCGAACTTTTATTCTTATTCTTTATTTCTCAGGATCATATTCACCTGGCCTCCTCCAACGGAGAGCTCTCCTCAAGCATGGATCCACTTAATTGTTCACCATTATTCCAACGTTCGTCGGTATCAGGCTCCTGTTCTCCAACAGCCCAACTCGCTTTTGCGTCGAATTTCGCTTCTATACCAGTTTGTAAAACATTTGACTTACGAACACCACTTCCGGACCATGTCTCCGAATCTACTGGGCGGGCGAAACGAGAGGTACTTAATGTGATCCAGGAATTATTGGTTCATTAATCAACGAACCAAAAGGCTTAAATTATGATGAGCAATGTGCTTATTAAATAAGGTTATTTCAAGGTTACCTTATTAGCGAGACTTACTGTTCTAATTTTTTTCTTATAATCTGGCTGCGGCAGGCATAAGAAAGTCGGTCACTTGATATGAGAATATGCAGTTATCGCACCTACCCAGCCACTGATATCTTGAGCACGAACACCTTATTATCTACGCTGAAGCAAAAATAGCCCTTTTTATACATTTATTAGATCCTTAAAAAATTGGCGATCAGTAAATGCTAGTGACTATTTTCAGCAAACTTCTTTTTCCGCATTCGGTTACATAGTTTTTGTTTAAAATTTCAGGTAAAATGGCCATCGTGGCATGGCATACAACTGCTTCTCTAACTCACTTATCGAGATATCCTTGGTTAAAATTTGATATTTTATCAATTTTTAATAAAAAGGGCTTTTTCCCAACTATCAGCTATATCCCCTGAATATAGTTAACAATCATCGACCACATGCGACCACACCAGAGGCCACAACATCTTGGTCTTCATATATT